ACCACAACAATCGGAGATGGAGTTTCCTCAGCTTTAACCGGATTCTTGGGTTTACGTTTCTCGTCTTCCTCAGATTCACTGGAATGATTAAGCGAGTGTGGAGGCGATGGAGAAGAAGAGAATTGAGTAGTGGACTTGTCGAAAGTCACTATCGCCATTGAAGTATCCGTCGTCGGAGGTAAGGATTTCTCCCTCGGAGGTGACATCGACTTTCCCGGAGATCTCATCGGAGAAAGCACGAATTTTGTTTGAGGATGAGGGAGGAATCAGGAATGAGATGATTCAACTACGAAATCGAATTTAGGGAAAAAGCGTGAAACCGAAGCGAAAAATGGAAGAACAAAAGTGAAAGCCAGGTCAGGGAATCAAACAAAAGAAGAAGACCTTGAAAAAGACAAACTTTATTTTGTAGACTGGTCCCTATATTTTGCAGCTTCTATGTTTTTGGTTTTTAATATTCTGCCTTATAGTTTTGACTTTTTTCAATTGTGCCCCCATGAGTTTTGTAACTATATGCTAAAAAACGATAAGGTATCTAAAACGCTATAAGTTAATGATATGATGTATTTGGGCGGCCTTCGGATTAGAACTATAATATGTACTGCCAAAATCGAAAAAGTTAACCTAATTACCGATTTTAACCATATCATCATCAAATTAACCTAAAATATTTTTAGGGTATCCAAAATACGCATTTCTCACTTGGATTGCAATACATAACCAATCAACAACTGGCGATCGAATGCGACAATGGAGCATCAGTCTGACTATTGAGTGTATTTTTTGTAACAATGCTGAAGAAACACACAACCATCTGTTTTTTTGAATGTAGTGTCTCCGGTGAAATCTGGCGCATGACTATCTCAAAGCTCTTAGGATCGGATTACACCGTCGTNTGGAATCAAATGGTGGCTCTGTTAACATCATCCCGTTCTAAGAAGGACCTCTTTCTTATTCGCCATGCATTCCAAACAACTTTGTACAATCTATGACGTGAAAAGAGTCAAAGAAGACATGGCGGAATAGCGCAAACACCATTGGCTCTCATTAAGCTCATTGACAAGGTTGTTAAAAACAGGATCAATGCAATTCGCATCGGAGGGAACAACGCTTTCACGGAAGTCATGGAGCGTTGGCTCATGACTCGTTAGCAGAGCTTCTATCTCAACTAATTCATTATGTTTTGATTAAATCTTATCTGAAAATATTTATTGTAAAAAGGCATTTTGATTGAATAATAAATTTTACATTCATTAAAAAAAAACATTTTAGGGGGTGTAATTGAGAGTAGGATTCTTAATGTTTTTAAGAATTCTTAGATTCCATTGTTATTGGTTTATAAATTCTAACAATCTAAATGAAATTCACTGATATTGATTT